AGCAAGGACAAACAGTTTTAAAGGAGAAAAAAAAAAAAAAAAAGTGCACCAACTTGTCACAGAAGCTGTACGTTCCCCGTGATATGTGTCGTCCTTTCCAGTCCTTCAGGTTTAGCAGAGATCATGGTAGCAACCCCAATAGTCTGTCCCGTTGCTTCTTCCAGACAGCCAGAAGCGAAGGCCAACAAGCTCATAGAATAATGGGGAAAAACAAACAAAATTATAACTCAGTGCACTTCTTTCTGGGATATCTAAAATGACCTGAAGGCTCCCCAAATCAGACCTCAAATGCATTTTTTTTTATCCTAACATATAACGTTTAGGAGAACAAACCGAGGTACTCAGCAAAATAATCCAAAGCCCACAGAACTGGTATTTCAGTACCAGTATCAGGACCTTGGGTTCCAACCCTGGGATCCAGTAGCCCAAGTTAGGCTCAACTAGAAGGAAAACTTGTATGAACTATGTTAGAAATATCCTATATTACATTGTGTGTCAGCCCTCTGCTGCTAGCGGGAAGAGGGGCTTGGTGCTATAATCCTTGGCTAAAGTGCAATTCTTGCTGCAAATACTGAGGTCATGCATAGCCAGAAGAGGAAAAAAAATCCCTTTCAGCCATAATCAGTCCTTGAGTCAATATTCTGGCCAACTCAAAGCTCATGCCTTGATTCAGTTTTGCCTCTGTAGTCTGTAGCAATTGTCTTCTATCCAGCAGCTAAAATAAAATAACGAGAACATGTTTTGATGACACAGTTGTTGGAGATACAATGATTTTTCATTGGTAGCTGGGGCCAGTTGCATAATCTTAGTCTGGTTTTGAAACATTTTCTGAACTAACTCCGTTATTATCCGTAAGCTGTCAAAAGAAACATTTGGTGCAGTCCAAACTTGCTCCCAGATTGCTGAGCTGTGTGTCCAAGTCCATAGTTACTAATCATGTACCCGCTGCCTTCTCCCGTTAACACTCCCGTGGGTCTGTGTTGGCTCCCGAGCAGCTCTCCGGCGCCGTGGTGCTTGTTCTGATGCGGCCCCCGGGTTTTGCAGCTCTGGCTTCGCGCTGAGCGCAGCCCGGCACAGCGAGGAGCTGCTGCTGCCGTGTGGGCCCGTTAATGCGCGTTGCTGCAGGGCAGCCGGAGCCACAAGCAGCCCCCCGGCTCACCTGGAAACGCGGCTGAGAGCCCCGGGCAGGGCGCAGGGCGAGCGCAGCACCGCGGGGCCGAGGGCGCCGGGGCCGAACACGGCGCTGCGCACGCGGCTCCGCAGTCTGCGTCAGGCACCACGGGGCCTCGGCCCTCCCCGTCGCACACGGGTTTGGTGCGAAGCGAGAACTTGCTGCTCCTCTTCCCTCTAAATACAATAAATGCTTTCTAACCTGCAAAGTTTGAGCAACCGCTCAGCTGGCCATGGTTACAAAGGAGAAATGACCCCTCAGGGCACAGCCGCGGTGCCACGAGAGGCGTGTGCGGAGCTCGCGCCCACCTTGTCCTTGGGCTCTCCATGGAGCCGCTGAGCCGCGCTGTCCTTGCAGGATCTCGGGGCACTGAAGATCCCGGAGCAGTACCGCATGGCCATCTGGAGGGGCCTGCAGGATCTCAAGCAGAGCCACGACTACGGGGCGCAGGGGCTGCTGCGGCCCGGCGGCAACGCGCCCGGCGGCGCGGGCGAGCTGCAGCGGCAGCGCGTCATGGAGGCCGTGCACTTCCGCGTGCGCCACACCATCACCATCCCCAACCGCGGCGCCGACGACTGGGCCGACTTCGGCTTCGACCTGCCCGACTGCAAGTCGCGCAAACAGTCCATAAAGGAGGAGTTCACGGAGGGGGACATCAACTGAGCGGCTCCGGGAGGAGCGGGAAGAGACTGGACACCGAGTTAAAAGAACACGGAAAAAGAGGAAACCCCGTGTGGAAACAGCAGGTTGTTTTCAGCCTTGAGTGTCTGGTTGAAAATGCAGTTGCATTGGATGGACGGGAACTCCGAGCCACGGGAGAAAGCCTGATCCTGATCCCTTCATTAGGCATCTTCCCCAGAAAGGAAATTCCAGGGGCTTTATCAGAGGATCAAGGGGAAGGAAAAGGCAGCTGAAAACAAGCCTGAAAAGGAATGCAAAGCAGGGAGAGACATTCGCTGGTTTGTAACGCTGCTTTATATTTTACTGCATCAACCATATGCAGCATAAAGATAGCATGTACGTTCTGCTAGCAAAACTCACCTTTTCCTCTTGTGTGTCCCACCTGTGTATTCTCAGCGAGTCCAAACCCTAAGGTCTTCTTCATTGGAGAAAAAAAAAAAGGAGGTGGTTTACATGTCTGCCATCGAGGGATAGAAAGCAACACAACCCAGCTGCTTTCCTGGTGGGCTGCCAAGAAGTATCTCTCTCCCTCAGTGCTTTGTAGAGCAGAAAAACAACCCATTTGGCAATTACACATGTGTTCGTGTACTTAAATAATTGTGTATATAGACAGACCACAATGTACATACAGTATACTCATTGTGCTGTAAGGGGGAAAAAAAAAGATTTATTTTCATGTAAGCTATAAAAATTGATACTTCTGAGACACTATAGTGTCAAGTAAATTAATTTCCTTCTCCAGCATGCAAACATGCAGAAATCATGTTTTCAGGCCTTATCCACCGAACAATTAAAGTGATTTCCCCTCTGAGCGTCCCTCATGCAGAGCAGGGCGTGAGCTGCTGAATTCCGTCTGGGACCCGCAGCTCTGCAGAGCGGCTCCCCGCCCTGGCGAGGAGCCGTGGGACGAGTCCCACCAACCCCCAGGAATGATTTGCCGTAGACTTGACCCTGCCTTTGTGCAAGGGGACGGACGGGGCGGCTGCACGAGGCTGCTCTAGTTTGTTTGCTCTTAGCTCAAGTCTCCTCCACAGCTGCCTCTCTTGCAGCTTATTTATAGCCCAGCCCGACTCCGGCCTTTTCCCTTTGCTTCCAGGGATGCTGCTCGCAGTCCCGGGGCGGTCGCAGCATCCCTGGCCCGCGGCCGGGT